TCTCCCTGGGTGACCCAGGTGCGTGCAGCATCAACAAGCGAGATGAGAGGCAAGTCCAGGGGTGCTTCCCTCCCATTCTGGAATATGGAGCGAGTCTCCCTCCCCGCTGGCACCTTCTCTGCCCACGCGAGGACTGACTGGGAGGGCAAGGGGTGGGGCCAGCCTGCTGGCAGGGAGCCACAGCAGGGGGACGAAAGAGTTCATTTATCTGGGAACCTGAAATGAATCTTGATTTAAATCATATGGTAAAAAGCAGCCAAAGAAGAAGAAAGAACACCTGATCCTCGACTGTTTCGGGAAATGGTTCAAGAGGGCAACGCATGAGAGAGGGGGGAGGATAGAGAAAGGGAGGGAGAGAGAGAGAGAGAGATGAGAGAGAGAGAAAAGGAAAAAGAGAGAGACAGGAATGAGAAAATGATGGAGGGAGAGAATGAGATGGAAAAGAAAAAATGAGAAAGAAGGGAAGAGAAAGGAAAGAAAGGAAAGAAAGGGAGGGCGCGAGAGGGAGAGAAAAACGAGAAAAGGAGGGAAGGAGAGAGAAAAAGAGACCCATTTCTTACAGAAAACACCCGGAGGCACAAAACCAGGGTGGGTGTGGCTGGGTGTGTGTGTGTGTGTGTTATGTGACTGGGTGGGAGTGATGTTGAGTTGGTCATGCCCACCCAGGTTTTGTGGTTCTCTGTTTTCTTTTCTGTGGGAACCCGTCCAAATGGCTCTGAGTGTTTAAGGGTGTTGCCTATTCCTGCCAGATTAGTTTCATCTGCAAATTTGGTAAGTTCCCCTTCTATTCCCTCATCTAAGTCATTTACGAAGATATTGAAAAGTACTGGCCTACGATGGAACCTTGTGGTACAGAGGTGGGTTCCTACCAGATTGCACCAGTTCAGGTGAACCGGTAGTGGAAATTGGGCCTGGGTCACCGAACCGGTAGGGACAGCAGGCTGGCCATGCCCCCAAACCAGCTCAGACGCTCACCCTGCCTCACCTTCACCATGTGCTTCCACAGAACTACCTCCTCTGCACTAGCCCACCCCCATTCCCCATCAGCCAGCATCTCCCAAAGCCGCCACTGTCGCAGCCGCAGCGGGGATGGGGGCAGCCACATGGCTGCAAAGCTTGCCAGGCCAGGTGGCCCCCCTCCCCCTGAGGATGAAGCCACTACCATTGCAGCTCCTGGAGCTCATGTTGGTGATCCGGAGGGTAGAGGGAACCAGCCACTGGTCGCTAGCATGACTGTAAAGCTTGCCAAGCTGCTCCTTCTCCCCGCTGGGCTTGTGTCTCCCAAAGCAGCCGGTGTTGCAGCCACGGGAGGGTTGGGGGCAGCCTAGCAAGCTGGGCATCTGAAAATGGTGCAAAGACAGGGACATCTCTCAGCCGCAGCACTTTCTGAATGGGACTTCGAGGAAAGCAGCGGCTCACAGCTGCTAAATTGCACAAGATGCTCCCCCAGCAGTGCAGAGAGAAGCATCCGCTGCCCCCGGAGAGCAGAGGTGGAGGGGAGCAGGCCCCCAAAGGCTGCTCAACCAAGCCTCACCGCTTGATGGAAGTCAAGCACACGTTCATGTGCAGAAGCCGTGTGCATGTATGCATGCGCAGAAACTCTGCGCAACTCACATTTTTGGCAAACCAGTGGTGGAATTATGTGAAACCCACCACTGATCTGGATGCTCATTGTTCTTCATCACATATGAAGAATGAATTCACATGAATGATGCTGTGTTTTCACATGATTAATCACAGAAATGCTGTGGAAGGGGCTTCTCCTCTTGAAAAGGCCGGTGTAGAATGCAGCTATTTAATAATAGAGACATTGAGGTTTCGGTCTGCAGGTTTCATTGGCACAGAAGGCCTGCTTTTGCCAAAAGCCACCGATATATATATATGGAAAAACTGTGGATTGCTCTGGAGATGGGGATCCCAACAGATCCAGCCAAGGTTTAGTCAAGGCTGTTTATGGCAGAGGGAGAGGATGGCAGTTCATGCTGAGTTCATGCTGAGTGAGACTCTTGATTCAGGAAACAGCATCACCATAGTGAGATTCCCAGGCTGTCTTGTCTCGATAATTTTTTTCCCCACCGTAGGATAAAGTTTTTTCACTTGATTTTTTTCACTGTAGGATGAAGAGGGTCAACATTTGTCCGACGAAGACATAGCCGCTGAAGCTGACACATTCATGTTTGAAGGTGAGACGGGTGAATGGATCTCATGCATGCAGTGGGTTTCTCAGAAAGAAAAACTGGGGCCTCCATTCCAAGCTGCAAGAGTTACTTGTGCTTCCACTTTGATCAATGGCTTGATCAGTGTAGAGCCTATGTTGTTCACTGCCTTCTCTGGTGCTCTATCTTACTCTTTGCATCTCTTCCCCATGCCCGGCCCCTGGCAAAGGACGTATCCTAAGCACAATGCTTTGAATGAAGGCCCTGTATTATTGGTTGATTATTTCCAAGGGCTGCAACAGACTGATATTTGTACCCAAAGGAGCTGAGGTTTCCAACTTCTGGGCCCTCTTCTCCAGCCCACAGTGAATACCTGGCCTTTGGACTGTGTGCCTATCCAATTAAGATCATTCCGCTTCTGGAACTATCATTATCTTTCAAAACCAATGTTTGGATTATACCTAACTGACTTGTGTCCCTTTAATTGTTAGACTTGTTCATTGGCGTTTTATTTTATTTTTTATTTTTTATTAACAAAAATGTAAAATACACGCACACAAAACCTAGACGTACACCACATTTACACAATACGAACAGGGGCTTCCTGTTCTTTCTAATAGCAATCATCAATCGATACTGCTCACCTTATATTATTTCCCCTTCTATCGT